GTATTTTATATATTTAATTTTGTTTGGAAACTATCTGCAAATTATGTCCCCCCTTGTCTTGTTTTTCGTACTCGTATCAATTCTCGTACATCTGCATGTCATAAATGAAGATAAGAGGTTATGTGTCATTTTGATTCATGATTCACTTTTCTATATAATATTTTTAAATAACTTCCTTTCCTTGAACTTCAAATTTATTAGCTGTTTCGTGGAATTTTGAATGTTTCTCCTCTTATGTTCACAGTATGATTTGTCAGCATCTCAGTTCTCACCTGATGGGCGTGTTTTCCAAGTGGAATATGCTCAAAAGGCAGTCGAGAACAGCGGGTAAGAACACAATCTACTTTTTCAAATTTCTTGTAACTTGTTTTGCTGAAGATAATCTTAGCTGTGCCCTACACTGTGTTTAATGTGTTTTGTGTCTTTGTTTACTGAACAGTACGGTCATTGCCCTCCGAGGGAAGGATTGTGTTGTATTGGCCGTAGAGAAACTTGTCACATCAAAACTATATGAAGCAGGCTCTAACCGTAGAGTTTTCAATGTAGACAAACATATTGGCATGGTAAGTATTCTTCAATTTTTATAAATTGTGACAATGATTACCAGTATATTCAGTTAATGGTAACAATTTTGTTTTAGGCTGTATCAGGTCTAATTTCTGATGCACGTCAGATTGTGGAAACCGCCAGAGCTGAATGTGCAAACTACCGTTCACAGTACGGAACTAACATTCCTCTTAAATATTTGAATGAAAGAGTGTCAATGTTTATGCACGCCTACACCCTGTACAGTGCTGTCCGTCCTTTCGGCTGTAGTGTTGTTTTAGCTGCTTATGAAGCTGATGGTCCTCAAATGTACATGATTGATCCCTCAGGAGTGTCTTATGTGAGTCATAGCATCATAGTGTCCTTTACTGTTGTGTATCGACTCATTTGGCTTATTAAAGTTTTTATGCCTAATTCCCCACATTTTACTTTCAGGGATACTATGGTTGTGCAGTTGGTAAAGCCAAGCAGTCTGCCAAGACTGAGATTGAGAAACTTACATTGAAGGACATGACCTCTGATCAGCTTGTCAAGGAAGCTGCAAAAATGTGAGTTTTACTTAATAAATCGTGAAGTGAAAATTATTTCCTTTTATATGTTTGTAATGTACTATTTATCATTACAGCATCTACCAAGTCCATGACGAACTCAAGGACAAGGAGTTTGAACTTGAACTCAGCTGGGTTGGCAAGAACACCAAAGGAATTCACGAGAGGGTGTCTGACGCAGTGCTCCAGGAGGCAGAGAAGAGTGCTAAAGCCGCCATGGAAGATGATTCAGACTCAGAAACTGAAGATATGTGATGTGTGTCTTAGATGGTATTGATAATTTCCCTCACAATTTATTGTATTGAATAGGGTCTCTAGTGATTAACAACTGAGATGCAACAAGTTATTCTTGACATAAAAATGTATTGCCTTTGATAGGCAGTTATAAGCACTGATCCGCATCAAGAAAACAACGTTGATGATAATTTTTATAATAATAAATACAGTGTAAAATCACTCGTGTATTTCCTTTGGACTAGCCCTTCAGTATGTAACGGTCGTGGTGTGTAAATCAGCGCCCAACATCGCTGTCGGTCGATTTCGATTCGGCCTCGTTATGCGTGACGCTGAACGTCGATGTTTCTAGATTAAACCAATCACGGGCCCCCCCCAACAGTGCTTAATTGCTGTAAAACCATTGATGGCGTCACGAGTCAAGATCGGCCATCTGCGTCCGAGAGGCAAACAAGCGCACGACACATGTGGGGCTGCAGCACGCTGTATTTTTATCCTCTGCTGTTGAAAGTCAGGATCGCAGAGTGCCACGACCGAAGCCACAGGGAAGTTCCGGCGGTGTCGGCTCGCGCGTGCCCGTGGCACAGCGTGTTTTGTAGTCCTCTGGCCTCGTAATAAGAATTCTCTCAACCACAGTCATGGTGAACGAGTAGAACGCCCATGTCGATTGGGTTCGACCGACGTCGGCGGCGCCACCACGACGGCCGTTTGCGACTCTTTTTTTTCGAAGCTTTGTGCGGTAAGTCGCATTGGGGTGAGAGGTGGCGCCTGTCGGGTGCGCGCGCCTCCCCGCCGCGCCCGCCACACTCTTGACCTTCCCTCCGAAGTCGTCCGGGTCCGCGACCCGCGACGACGGCTGGGGCAGAAAGTAGGGAGGGAGCAAGCAAGCCCGGCTAGTGGAGAGAGGAGACTTGTCATTGTGTCGGTGCCTGTACCAGATCAGACGCCAGTGCCGATATTCGTTCAAAAGCCCCATGGCCAGGGTCTCCTGCTTCGTGGACAGAGGCGGGTCCCTCGCCTCTCCCCGGTGGAGGGCCACCTGTTTGTCCCCACGCAGTCCTCGTCCTGGGCCTCCTGGCCTGGTGGCCCCGGGTGGCCCCAGCCTCTGCCAATTGGTCCCTTGTGTGTGTCCATGGTGTTGGCTAGCCGACGATTGAAAGAGGACCCGGCAGGAAGGGAGGAGAAAATGGATAAGGGGGGGGGGGGAGAGGGGACGGGAGGACGATTTTGTGCCAGCAGGGTCGGATCTGCTGTCGTTTTTCTGATCTTGTTTTTGTTTTTTGTTTTCTAATCTGGACGGTAAGTAGACTTAGAGCATGTGCCCCAGAGAAAATCATCTGCCTGTCGCTGTTCCTTGACCTTGGCAGGGCAGGCGCTGCTGGGGCGCCCTGCCCCCCGGCGCCTCGCCCGCTCTGGTCGGCACTTTACTGCTCGGGGTAATCAGCCGGGCCGCCGCCTTTACGGCGACAAGAAACACTTCGGATGTCCGGGGCGAAAAAATGAAAACAAAAAGGGGGGTAGTAGAATAATAATGAATGTGTGAGTGGAATGGTGGCGGCGGGGGGGAAAGCCCGCCGCGGGCCTGGTGGCGCGCCCACCCGCCCTCACCACCTCATGAACCCGATCGCCCTGTCCTCCGCGGCCTGGCCGGCTCAAACGGCTACAGCGCAGCAGCTTCATCGGCTGGTGGTAGTAGTGAGTTTGCGACGAGACGCGACGTCATAGGCCCCACGGACGGGCTGGACCCGGCTCCCGGCCGGGCTCGGCTGCGCTCGGCTCGGCTCGGCCGGGTGGCGGGGCGGCGGCGGAGGGGCGCTGTGTGGTGCTCTGGTCCCGCCCGCCGCGCCGCGGCGCCCGCCCGCCGCCCAGTGCATGGCCAAACGCCGGCCGGTGCGATCAGCTGTTCCCCCCGAGGCGGCGCGGAGTGGGAAGATTGAGACCAAAACACGCGCGACGAGCGAGGTGACGGTGACGTCAAGTGACCCGTTGGCGGGAAGAGACAAGACAGCCAGGCCCGCGGCCTCGACCAACTCGTCGTCCTCATGCTGCGTCCCGGACACCGGCCGGCCGGTGGATCCGGCGTTCACCGTCATGGCCCTCGTCGGAGGTGAGTCCGGGACGTGTCATCGAGTACCGCATGGACCTGTGCCTGGGCCGACACCCTCTCAAGCCTTATCACCAGGGGAATGCAACAACCCCTCGTAGTTATACTGTACCGCAGGCGTGATTTTAAGTCCGTCTGACGGAGGACCCGTTTTACTGTGGGTTGCCTACTTTCAGGGGTTTTGACAAGACAAACTGCCTACCTACCCTAGGTGTCGATTTAGGCCGATCGCCCCGTTTTCCCTCATAAAATCGCGCATGGAGGGCAGTGGGTGGGTTGCCTACTCGCTCTGGTCTGCTGACGCGTAGCCGGGGGTCAGTCACGCTGCTCATGACCTCCCCTCATCCACCCTTAGGAGGACTGCTGGTGGGTCTGTAGGCATTTCGCTGCGCAACTTGCCTTTATAAGTAGGCTTTAATTGCGACGTGATCTCCTGGCCACGCGCCTGCCTGTGAGTTAGGCAGCCAAGTGACAGCAGAGACGGAAGTTGCTGCGAGCCCGTGACAGCCATCCCCAACAACACATAAACAACAAGTCAAACGAATCAGCCAAATTGAAGTACGATGACTTGATATTATATTGACGCCACCGAGTTTTAACCGCATCCTTCAACATTCTCTCGCGCTCGGACGGCAGCCAGCAGCTCCTCGTCGTGTCGCCGGCGGCGTGCTGCTCGCGGCGCTGCTTGCCGACGGCCAGCCCCAGCAGCCTCGGCCCCAGCAGCCGTCCCGTCCCGTCGTCGCCGCGCGCTGCTGCAGCTGCTGTGTGTTTGCGTCTCGATGGCCGGCGGGGGAGAGAGAAGCCTTTATCAGTGTGTTTGAAGTAGCTTTGCCTCGCTGTCACAGCCGTCGTAGCGTAGGGCATGGGTGGCCGGCGCTGGGGGCGG